TACAGTTGTGCAATTGAAATCTTACTTTTTTTTTTTTTTTTGCATCACTTAAGTTATGGTTGGTATCTTGACTTTTTGATCCTCAATAGATGTTCTTGTTCTGCAAAGTTCGGGATTCTTTTTAAAAATGAAAGCAGAAACAAAACCCCAACTTTCAAATACTGTAACAGTATATTTATTTCTAATATTTAAATATATCAGCCAAAAATGTTTCAATGTTCTCACTTCCAGATTTATAATTTCCCATAATAATCACAGTTTTAATAGTAATAATGCCCTCAGTACATAACTGACATAACATTTCTTTTTAATACTAGTGTCTGTATACTGAAAGTGTTTATTTATATGGTATAAAAATTAATCATCTCGTCTCTTTTACTCCTGGTTCATGCTTATACCTTTTTGCTCAATCCTGCTTCAAACTAAATAAATACTGCAAAGCTTGGCTTGGTACTAATGGGCACAAGAGGATTCTGGGCTATTCCTTGCAATAGATTGGGCCTCATTTCCCAAAGAGCAAATGAGAAAAGAATTTGTGGTTTAAATTATATTCCAGTATGGGCCTGGTTTGAGGTGAGCATACTGAATGCTTCACTTTAATAAAAGCCTTATTCACAGAAGTGTCTGTGAAGAATACCTTAGTTTAAGGGCTTTTTTTCCTCATCTTATTTTTCCTCTGAAGAATATTCTTCTAAGTATTATATAACATTACTTTCAGAAGCAATATGTACCATCAAGCATTTATTGTACTTTCTTATCTGCTATTTGTCTTATTTACCATCTTCTTATTCTAAATGAATTTTTCCCTGGCACACAACAATATATCCAAATATTAAAAAGCTGAGAAAAGAGAATGTATAAAGTCTTCTCATTAATATTAGATAACATACATTAAGAAAAAAGCTTTGGCAAGTCCCATATAAAATCTTTTAATTCTAGGATGTTTTGTTTCTTTGCTTACTTAAATAACCCATAACAAAAAAAATAACTAGAAAAGCAGACAATAATGGCAACATATGTCTGTAGTACTAATAAAGATTATGACTGTTCTTTATGAAACTCTGATAGCAACTACTTACCGAAAAAAAATGCCATCTGCAACCCTTGATATTTTTGCTGCACTTAATTTTATTTTGCTTGACAAGTCCAGCTGTTTAATATCTTATAAACAAAAGGAGAAGGAATTATTTGAAACAAAACACCTAATTCAATTTGCTTCAATGTATGAAATATGAACCAGTACTTCCTATGACAGGATGGGGTTTTATTACATTTGATCTCTCAGAATATTGACTCTTATCTTTCTATCATAAAATAAAAATAATAGGTCAAGTGGTGCCTCCAGGTAAGAAAGATATTATGGTATAACGTGTTTGTGAAAAACAGCCTGCTTCACAGATCCAGGGAGTCTTAGTGTTGGGGGGGGGGGGAAATACAGTACACTTCCAGATAGATGTGAGCAAAAGTAAACGTAGAAGTTACATCAGAATGAAACATTGAATGCACAATTTCTTAGTGATAATGGCTGTTTACAAAATATCTATAAGGATTACTCAAGGAACTGATGCGTATAAGCATTTTAATAATATCTCTTTGTTTCTGTGACATTCATAAAACGTAACAGTTGATGAGATTGAGGATGGGTGTTCAGATGGCCTTGTTCTTCTAAAATTAAGACTAGTTTGCAACAGTTCCAACTGCCGCCTTTCATTATGGTAGCTAATAAGCAAGACTCCTTATAACAATTGCATGTTAATTTTTAAACTGGAATGAGCAACTACCCTCTAACAAGTAAGCCACCTTAAAAAAATTCAATAATCTCTTTTGCTCTGAGAAATCAAAGATCCAGTTTCATTGTCTTATTATTAATAGAAGATTTGGTATATTGTGTGTATGAATGAAGGTGTACAGGATTACAAATTTTAATTCTGCATTGTTAAAATAAAGTCTGTGTGCATTTGAGAAAGAAATTCTCCAAGGGATTATTGAGGTCAACCAATTTCCCATCTCTGTCGTAGGTTTAGTGAGGATGCTCCCTCCCATAGCACTCTTTCCTTTCTTCAAATTTTTCCCCCTTTGTTCTTTTCGTTCCAGTTGCCTTTAAGGAAAAGGAAACAGAGCAGTGACAGCAATAGTAAGAACATATACCCAATATGTCTCATCTAATAAAAATGCTTCTTTCTTTCTCAGAACATTTGGATACTTTGATTTTTCCTTCATAATTACTGTAAATGAACAAAGCATAATTGTCAGTGATTTCAGAATCTGACAGTTACTTTAGTCATAAGAGGAGCCATACCAGGGACATTCAGGTAAAAAAAATCAAGAAGGCATTTGTGACTACACAATTGAAGCTCCATCCTTCTCTCCATATGCCATATATGCAATGCACATTGAAAAGTTCATAATCTTAGAGTACACAATTCAGTTAAATTAATCTGAATACATTTTAAAGCTTCATTCTTGCCAGGAAAAAGAAGAAGAAAAGGAGAAATCATTCAAATGTCAACAGGGAAACATACTAATTATCTACCATTGAAGGTTAGATTTCTCTTATGTCATATATTAATAATTCTCTTTATTACATTTCAAACCTTAGAACTTTGTTCTAAGTGCAGTAATTAATACCATATGGACAAAGGACAGGTTTAATATCCAAAGGAACGTAAGACCGCATAAGTATGGCAGCAACACAAAATGACTGGGGCTGAAGGAGTCACAAATGTAAATTGTATGTGTACATTTTCATGTTTTCTTCAATATTATTTTAATGACATTTTAATGATTGAATTGTCTTAAATCTTGATCCATTTTGTATGTATTCTGATTCAAAATAATGAAAAATGCTTGGAAATGTTGGAAGGCAGGGTGCATATGTGTAGTTTCAAGTCAGTCTTGACTCCTAGTGACTATATGGACAAATCCTGGCAGGGGTATTTGGTAATATTTTTGGAAGTGGTGTTTGCCATTGCTGTCTTCCTAAGCTAAGAGAGACAGACTGGCTCAAAGTTGCCTTCTCTGATTATTATTATTATTATTATTATTATTATTAGTCATATTTCTATGCCGCCCACTCTCTGGCTTACACCAAAGACAGTATACTAAATAGCATATTGCCCCCAACAATCTGGGTCCTCATTTTACCCACCTCAGAAGGATGGAAGGCTGAGTCAACCTTGAACCAATGAGATTTGATCCGCTGATCTGCTGAACTAGCAGTCAGCTGAAGTAGCTGCAGTATTGCACTCTAACCACTGTGCCACCTCGGCTCTTATGGTAGGACTAGAACTCAGATTGTAGGACCCTGCTTGTAGGACCATAAACATTAGCCCAAACTGCTAGGTTGGAAGACCATACACATCCTTAAAAACTTTAATTATTGTAGATATACTTTATACTACAATGTAATAATAGTAGGACAGACTCAGCCACCATATAAATGGAAGGCTGTTAGATCCAGGCTGCCAAAATCCAGATAATCACTAGAGGGCAGCAAATCTCATGGCCATCATTCAGTGGTATCTGGATTTTGGCAACCTGGAGTTGATAGCCCTATATAAAACTGAATCCATTTCTATCTACAACAGAAAGGGGGAAAATCATAACCAGCCACTATTAAATATTCCTGAATTGATTTAGTTTTATGATCAAAAGAAGCTCATTTTTAAAGCAACCTGCTGTTGTGTTAAAAATATAAGGCATTCAAGTTCATTATTCCAAAGGTCACATAATAAATTAACATCAGTTTCAGCTACCTTGTACGCTTTCTGACAAACACAAGTTTTCAAAATAGCAGAGAAGTTGAACAGAGAAACAACACAAATACTTCACTCTTTCTTCAGGTTCTAAATTACATTCATTCAAAGTAAATTATTGTGTGTGCGAACATACAATCAAACATACCTATGTTAAATGTAAGTGGTCAAATATTGCTAAATAGTAGTGTGCAATACTTCTTATATTATTCAAACAATATTAAATGCTCCGATTTCTTAACAATGTAGTGGTTAGAAATATTATAAATACTCCAGAGTATACTGAACTAATTTATACCAATAAATGTGCTTCTATTTTTTCTTTCTTTCTCTCTTTGTTGGCAATATAATTTATATTAGTTGCTAAAAATACAGAAAGTTTCATAACATATGACTGCCTGATGCCCTTTGGCCTTTATTAATGCCGATATTTCAAAGTGTTCTAACAATTGTGTTAAAAACATGAAATTCATGTGACTCTGAATACATTTTGATTAACTATTGTCATGTGCTGCCTATTAATAAATTAGATAAAAGGGAAAATGGCAAATGGTTCAAATTAGAACGAGAAAATATGTTTAGTAAAATATTAACTTGTTATTTATGTGTTAAATGATTGTTATTGATAGTTGTCAGCCTTTGTGGTATTTGAAGAAATCTACTGCATAGATCATTTAAGTAGCAAATGTTAAAATTCATTTTATAGTCATTCCATATCTTGCCAATATGATTGATATGCTTGACATATAACAGTTTTAAGACAGAATGATAAAAATTCCTTAATCACATTCTTACTTTCCTCTGAATATCCCATTCCTAATTTATAGGTATATTATTATAGCACATTTGCCAGTCTGCTGGTACTGTTATGTTAAATTCACTGGCAAATGTGGGCTTTTCAAAGGATATATCTTTATACTGAACAAGCAAATTGAATTATTTATTTATACAAATAAATGTTTGGGTTGTTGTTGTTGTTGTTTTCTCACAGAAATCCACTTCTATGAAAGTTTTCTGAGCTTTTTCCATTTTAGCAGCTGAATTAAGACCAAGGATTGGATAGGAGGAGACCACCCTGGTACCAGAAAGCCTGGGATTAGATCAGTGTTTCTCAACCTTGGAAGCTTGAAGATGGGTGGACTTCAACTCCCAGAATCCCCCAGCCAGGCTGGATTAGATGGAGGCCAACCACTATGTTATACACCAACCTCCATGTTGCAAACCCTTACATAGAGATTCTCTCACCTTTCTGAGGTCACCTGGAGGTGCTGGCTCTTCTCCTCTGCTCTTATTCAAAACCAAAACAGTCTGTCCTTGCTTCTAGTTACCATCAGTTGAAAGAGCTAATCTGTCAGAAGGTCAGTTGTAGTAGAACTGGAATAAAAATGAGGAAGTTTATGTGGCATTGGAGCAGAGTGAGACCTTTTGATTTCCATCCAGGGGTTTCTGAGTGGTCAGTTTTTCTAGGGACTTTGCTTTTGCTTCCCAACTCTTTTTCTTATTCCAGATGTTGCAGCAACTCAAAAAGAGATATATTGTTTGAGCTTCATTTTTTTATATTCTATTGGTTAGCTGGAGGGAAAAGTCATTGGTGCATGGTGTACCCTGCCTGTTTCTCAATGTTCTGAAACTGGCAGAACTTAAGATAATCAAAAATCAGCTTCAGATGGTTTATGAGGGATGGCTGTGTGTGGAAACTTTGCTCATCTGTAGAAAGTACCCAAAGAAAATTGGCTTCCAAAAACATTCTTTTCCCCTTCGTTATTCATAGCATTTTAAATACAATTTTCATTTGGCACTCTCCACATTTTCCCAATAGTCCTTCTATTTTTATTTTAAAAAATTAAGAAGGCACCGTGCTTCTGATAAATGATACTTGTAGTCATATGTCTAAAAGCATTCGTGTTGCCTGAGTCAACCGTTAATTTAACCTCTAGCTTAGAGAAAAGGCAGCATGATTCACTAGATGTTTGTAAGGCCTTTATTCATCACGCTATCCCTTTGTACCATGGAGGGAACTTGATTCATGATATCAAAGTGTCAGGGCAATTCACAGCACTGCTAGATATGGTAGAAGAGGCATTCAGAGCAACATAAATGAAGCAACATGGCAGCTTTGCTTTCCACAGTTTAGAAGATCCTCCTGAATTCACAGCTCTTACTCAGGAAATAATTTGCCAGCTGTATTTTGGGAATGGATTTGCCCAGATTTCTCTGCTACTGCTTAACAACTGGGACTTAGTGACCATTCAAAGTTGCAATACACCCCTCAAAAGCTACTTACAACCCAGTTCTGGATTTGCAGTGGCTATACCCTCCCCCATGGTCACACAACTGTATTTTGAGCATTTGGCAACCAGCTCATCTTTACGGCTGGTTATAGATTCCACAGTCACATGACCATGATTTACAAGATTTTTTTGGCAGTTTCCATCCTTAGTTGGTTTCCAGCAAAAAAAACATCCATAGTGACATATAGATTTAACAACTGCTGCATTTGTTTAACAACCATCACAAAAAACTTGTAAAATTGGGTCTGGCCATGTTCATGCCTTGACTTAAAAACCATTTGCCCTTGAAAGCCACTCAGCAGCTGCAGCTGGTCCAGAATATTGTGGCCTGTGTAGTTAAGGGCACATGTCAGGCATGTAACATGCCTGCTATGCAAACTGCCCTGGTTGCCAGTAAGCTTCTGGATGCAATTCAAGGTTCTAGCTGTGACCGACAAAACCTGTCATGATATAGGTCCTAGTTATCTAAAGAATAATTTTCCCCCATTGTTTTGGCCACCATCTAAAATTTGAAAAGAGGCAGGCCAAGATCCCTTTGTTAAAATTGGTAGAAGTGCATCTGAATTTATTTTCTTTTATTTATTTATATCTCACCTTTATTATTTTTACAAACAACCCAAGGCTGTGAACATATCCAACACACCTTCCTTCTTCTATGTTTCCCACAACAACTCTGTGATGTGGGTTAGGTTGAGAGACAATAATTGGCTCAAATTCACCCAACAGGCATTCATGGCTAAAGGTGGGAGTTGAACTCGGAATCTAGCCTACTGCTTTAAACTCTAAACTAAACTGTCTTACCTAACTTACCAAAACAGACAGACAGGTTGCAGGTTTGCACCGCAATGGAATTTTCCATGTATTTTACCAGGAAACGTAGTTAGGGTGCACTTGAAAAATCCGCACCCTACTAAGCATACTGATGCGCTACAAAGCCATTAATGATGTCCATTTTACTGTCTGAATTCATGGGCACCTAACCCTAAATCTAAGTGGGTTTGCCTGCCAATAGGATTTTCCCATGTATTTTACCAGGAAACATAGATAAGGCGGACTCAAAAAGTCCAGACCCCCCTAAGTATACCAATGCACTATAAATCTATTGGTGATGTCCATTTTAATGTTCGAATTCATGGGTACCTCATCCTAAGTGTGTTTTTGATGCGATATGACTCACCAATGGATTCATGTTGCATCGATACATTTCAGAAGGTGCAGACTTTTCAAATCTGCTCTATGTTCTCTTTCAAAAAGTTTTTTTATTTTATAAACAAACAAACAAACAATACATACTCAATCAGTCAATATATCTTCTGAATACATCTTTTGTGTCTTCTTTTTTCTCCTCCAATATTTATCATATCTTAATATTATCATTTCCTTTATTATGACATTTCCCCCACTTTTCTTACTTCTCTATTAATACATTTATCTATCTTTTAATTTTATTGAAAATGAGACAACCATTTTATCCACACAACCTTCAACCCCCCCCTTCCCCACCCCCACCCCCAACTTCCCAGAGCAAAAACAGGGTATAACATTAAACAAACATAAGCTAAAATATACTAACTTACTACAAGTTTCAAAACTCCCTCACACTCTTTAACTCCTCTTTTAAAAATTGTTCATCAGCCTCCCCTTTTGAGTTTTAATTTAAACATTATAAAACTTTCTTTATATATCCATTCAATTTTAAATTAACCATTTTAATACTTCAGTAAGTTTTTAAAAAGACACTTCAATAGAATATTCTTCAGAATATAACCTTAAAGATACTATTAATCCATTGAGTTAAATTATTTCTAACTCTTGAGTTCATTCTTCAAAATATCAATTTCAAAACTTTCAGAAAGCTATCCATTAACTTTAAAGTTAACCATTTTAATACCTCAGTAATTTTTAAAAAGCTATCCATTTTTAGTTAAACATTTTTACTTAAACTTAAAAAAATACTAATTTCAGTAAACTTCTTGAGTTCATTCTTCAAAATATCAATTTCAAAACTTTCAGAAAGTTATCAATTAAGTTTAAAGTTAAGCTTTTTAATACCTCGATAATTTTTTTTATAAAAAGCTATCCATTTTTAGTTAAACATTTTTACTTAAACTTAAAAAATACTAACTTCAGTAAACTTTTCAAATTTATTATTAAAATCTTCCCCAAAAGAAACTAATCTTCAATTCTTCTTTTCTTTCTATATTTTTTCCAGTCCTCCTTCTTCAATAGTACTTTCTTCTTCAACATTGCTCCTCCCCCTGCTTTTATTTTCGAAAATTTTTGAATATAGATTTGAGGCTTATGCATCTTTGGAAATCATTCTCTTCTAAAAGTTATCTCCTTCAATTTGAAACCTCCATTTCGACTCTTCCTGCTTATATAATCAGTCACTTCCTTCCTTGAAAATTGATTCTGTCTATCAAGCCAAAAATTGTCATGATAAAGTTTATCAGTCTGCAGGAAAGAGTCTATTTGCTGCTTTTCAGTTAACTGCATAGAAGCTTCTGCCAAGCTTCTGTTCTGTGTTAACTTCCATCGTGATCCTGACAGCCTCTTTTTCCTGCTCCAAAGTCGAAATAACTTGATTTTCTTCCTCTTTTCCAGCCAGCAAATCATTGTTGTTCTCCAGATTATAATTTTAAATAGTCCTTTCAACTGATTCCAATATAACAGAAGTATAAAAATTTAAGAGTTCTTGTAAAACCTTTACAGTCACAACTTGTGAATTTGCTGGCTCATATAATAATAATCCTCCATCCTTGATGTCAGCCATATTTCAATTTCCACTTTAAATTTATTCAGCTATCAGGTCAATAAGTCCAATAATTTTCCACACAATTTAGAAGTATAAAGTAGTTGGGGTCAGTACCATAGTCTTTTTCATTCCACTAGCACTTAAAATCTTTTTCTTGCCGCGTAATCCAGTAGCTTTTACAATGTTGCAGCTTTAACGATCACTTTCACTAGTAAGTTTCGTTTTAACGCCCTTAAGCGCCATATTTTTTCTTTTTCTTTTAAACGGAGTTAAAGTTTAGTACTTGCATTTTCTGTTCTCCTGATTTTGCTCTGCCAGCGTCCAGGTTCAAATTTTCTCATAATCCTTAAAATTGCTCTGCTGGTGTGGTCACGACCCCTTGTTCTGCATAAAGCAGAATCGTCTCGGATCCAGAGCACTGAAGAGCTTTCAGGGAGCTCTCACCCTGCAAACCCCAGGCTTCAAAAAAAAAAAAGCCTGGGGGTCTAGGGGAGCTCTACCCAGACCCTTCTGCTCTTCTCTCCCCCTTTTTCCCTGGGGGAGAACAGCTAGAACAGCTGATTTTCGCTGTTCTAGCGGCAAACGGAATCACGGGGCTGGAGCTCCTAAAGGAGCGTCCATTCGGGGAACGTGGAGCCACCGGAAGTTTCAAATCTGCTCTATCTATGTTATGTGCCCATGAATTCGGACAAAATGGACATTGCCAATGGTGCCTCATAGTGCATAGTTATGCTTAGGAGGGTGTGGTGTTTTCATATATGCCCTATCTATGTTTCCTGGTAAAATACATGGAGAAATCCCATTGGGGGGCAAACCCACTAGAGTTAGGTGCTCATGAATTCGGGCAGCAAAATGGACATTGCCAATGGATTCATAATACATGGTACGCTTAGGAGGGTCTGGACTTTTCGAGTCCTCCTTATGTTTCTTGTCTTGGTAAAATACATGGGAAAATCCCATTGGGGGGCCAACCCCAACAAAGATAATTAGGGAGATTGGAGACTAAAATGCTTGCTGGAATTGAGTATGTCTAATTTAAGGAAAAGAAGAACTATGGGTGACATGAAAGCAGAGTTCCAATATTTAAGTGGTTGCCACAAAGAAGATAGAGTCAAGCTATTTTCCAAAGCACCTGAGAGCAGGAAAAGAAGCAATGTATGGAAACTAATCATGGAGAGAAGCAACCTAGAACTAAGGAAAAAATTTCCTGACAGATCAATTAATCAGTGGAACAACTTACCTCCTGAAGTTGTGACTGCTCCAACACTGGAAGTTTTAAGAAGACACTGGATAACCATTTGTCTGAAATAGTATAGGGTTTACTGCCAGAGCAGAGGGATGGACTAGAAGACCTCCAAATTCTCTTCCAACTCTGTTATTCTGAATCCCATTTAATTTCTTCAGTTTCATCACTAGAGGGCCTCAGCATTCTCTTCTCATACGTCTCTTGGTTTGGAAAGGTTTGTCTAGGAAACAAAAACACTCTCCTAAGGCATGCCCTATCTCTTAGGAATAGGAGAATAAACAAAATTGTTAATAAGAATGCAGGTCTGAACTGGCCGATTAAATAGAGCCATGACCCAGTAGTGAGATGTTCTGGAAGATAAAAAGAAACGAAGATCTGTGACTATAAAATGCTACTGTTTCTTATATTCTCCTTCTAATTTCAAAATGTTTTATGGTTACAGGTTAAAAAGCATAGCTATAATCTATTCCTGCCCTTTTAACTTTATATCTTAACATTGCAGCACAAGTTTTCAAGTTTGGGACTATTGGATAAATTGGATATAACTTTGAATTGGATAAATGGGAGAAATTATGGAACAAAAATTATAAACTAACAATGTCTGTATCCTATAAAGAAAATATGTATAAAATGTTTTATAGGTGGCACTTGCCACCAGCCAGATTGGCAAAGATGTTTCCCAATACCTTACCAACGTGTTGGAAATGCAAACAGCAAAAGGGAACGTATTACCACATGTGGTGGTCCTGTCATAAAGCGAAACAATATTGGAGTAGAATCAGATCACAATTAGAAGAAATAACCAAACAACAGATAGAGATGAGGGCAGAAACATTTTTACTAGGAATACTCCCATTGTCATATGAAAAAGAAATACAATATTTAATTATCCATATTATCACAGCAGCAAGAATAATATACGCTCAGAATTGGAAAAATAATAATATACCATCCGAAGATAATTTGATCAGAAAAGTTTTGGAATGTGCGGAGATGGACAAATTAACAAAGGAGATACAAGAAAAAGAGGAAACAGAATATTACTTAGTGTGGGAGAAATGGTATGAATGGCTGGAGGAGAAAGATAAAAGGCAAGGGAAAATTAAATAATAGTTGAAATAGGAGTAGAAGTATAATAGCAAATGTGAGGAAACAAAAACTGTAGAAATGAAATTGTGTACATGAGTATTTATATGTATATATGTAAATAAATTAATTAATCTTAGAAGTATATGTACAAAAGATATAGTAGAATAAGGGAGAAAAAATGTATGTAAGAAATTCTTGACTGATGCGAAACTGTTGAAAAGGAAAAAGTGTTAAAGCTTTCTTTTTGTTTTTAAAAAATGTTTAATAAAAAAAAAAATTTAAAAAAAGAGAGAGGCTTCTGTGGAGCCAGCCTGAGGGAGAGGAGAGGCTTTTGTGGGGCCAGCCTGAAGAAGAGAAGGGGAGAGGATCTATGGGGCCAGTCTGAGGGAGAAAAGGGGAGAGGAGAGGACAGGAGAGTCTTTTGTGGGGCAAGTCTGAGGGAGAGAAGAGGATAGAGAGGGGAGGCTTCTGTGGGGCAAGCCTGAGGGATAGAAGGGGAGAGGAGAGGCATCTGTGGGGCTAGCCTGAGGGAGAGAAGGGGAGAGGAGAGGCCGATTGTAACTACTCATTAATTTTCAAACTCTAAGTGTCAATTTATCAAGCCCCATCACATAGTTTTGTAGCAAATCACGAGTATCCAGCTAGTTATATTTATAATAGTTTGCCATGCTTCAGCTACTTCAATGAGCAATATGGAATCAACACACTAAGCATGTTCTAAAAAGTTCTCTTTCTTTGTGGACATTATTTTAAATTCAAAAACTGAAGCTTGATTAAAACAACAAATTATTTTCCATGTTGGATTCTAAAGATAACATTATTAAATTCTAGGATGCACAAAAAGTCCAAATGACCATTGGGTGGCAGCAAGGATTTATTTTTTTTTTAGTATCCCTTTGTTCAAGGGTGAAATGCTCGCAGATTGGACCGGATCGCTCGGTAGCATTTTTTCCCTGTGGTTCGGCGATCTGGTAGCAATTGCCACCCAGGTGTCATTACCTTTTTTTTAACCTTCTGCACATGCACAGAAGGTTTTGTGCATGCGCATGATGCACACACGCACGTGAGCTAAGCTTCCAAACCAGTAAGGAAGGTAAGTAGATTTCACCCCTGCCTTTGCTGCTATCTGGTGGTCACCAAGATTCTGTAACCCTAATAAATTAAGAGATACTTACATGAGTAGCAATATAATAAAGAAAAATATACATACAATGCATCAACAAAACTGCACAGTCTGAGTAAAACGGAGCTGCACAGAGTCACAACAGTTCATAAATGACATCATTGACAATGTGTTAATGTTTGGGGATCAAACTAAATTCAGTATAAAGGCTGTTTTAGGTACAGTATATCTCATATCCAGCTTCTTAACAGCCTCTTTGAGACAGAAGATTTTTACCATGTAAGCATGTTTCACCTCAGAGAAATTATAATCCTTCCTATTCAAATAATTATATTACCAATAAAAATTGGCTATTTGTAATAATACTAGGTAAAAAGAAAAAAAAGTACATATACACTTAAGTTATACAGCAAGACCTCTGACAGTACAGAATTCTTTTCAGAAAAGCAACAAAGGAAATAGAATTTTTCATTATGAATCATTTGCACTGAAAAGCACAGAAAAAAACATGAATAATAGCACAATTAGTAATGAGCTGGCAAAGAATAAGGTGGGAGGAGAAAATAAATATATAAATGGATAGATATACTTTCTTATGTTATCATCTCTAAATTTCAGAAAGTATAATTTCCCCTCTAGTTACAATATTCAGATTTCAAGGCCCATTGTTTATGTTATAGTATTGGAAGAAATGTCCATCTGAGTACAGTTCCAAGTGGGAAGAAAGACACTGGAAACATGGAGGCTGATTGGAAAGATGTTTTAATGGTGGACAGGACCACATGGTTTGAGGTTCTGGGCAAACCAGCACATGGGTGAGAGAGAGAGAGAGAGAGAGAGAGATTTATACCCTCTCTTGGGTCCCGCCTTTGAGCTTCCTGTTCCTGTGTAAGAAATGTATTCTGATTGGTTGTCAGACTCCCAAGGGGCCATGCAGGGGTAACTTTGTAGGTTGTCTTGAGTCCCAGGCTTGGTTGAATCTTGCTGGGTGATGTAATGAAGAGCAATTCCTATTATAGCTTAATGGCTTTGTCCTGGTTTGGATCTTGAGTGAGGGCTAATCCTATCACCTTGGAGCTGAAGATCTTTTGTAGATAAGATGGCCCAGCCTTTTGTCTTGTAGATAGGTTGGCACCAGTCTTTCTGGGGCTATTAGCAAAGGTGGGGGCTGCTTTCCAAGAGCATGTTTCTCCCCTATTATACCTCCAGGGCGGTATAATATTCTGCCTTTTTAATATTTCCTAGAATATTTCATTCATCTAGGAGAGGGGTGGGTGCTAACTTTCTACAAGAGCAACAGAATTGCCCAGACAGAAGAGGCAAGAACAGGTTTGGGAAAAATCCTAATGATGTAAAAATGTCATTAGACAAAGGTGAATGAAATAGAGAAGTGAAGAGGAGGAGGAGGAGGAGAATAACGATGATGATGATGATGATGATGATGATGATGATGATGACGACGACTAAATTAGTACCCCAGGATGTCCACAGAAATCAAGTTAGCAATCACAACCATCATCTTCACTTGTTTTACTTCTGCTGCAGATGTCCCTGCAGCAGCTCCAGTGTGCAAAAGTCCAAGAATGGCTTAACTCATGAATAGCATAAATTCCCATATTGCAATATTATATTGCAATTCTCACTTGTAAAGAGTGTTGGGCTCTTTGGAGCAGATTTTGTGAGTGCGGACAGGAGGGAGGAACTGTATAATTGGATTTTGACTTTGTAAAGGAGGAGACAAAATGATGAGCCTGCTGTGTTGTGAGTATTTGTTACATCCAGCATTGACTACATGATGATTGAATATTGTTACATTGAGTTTATATCATTTTGTTGCTGTTTTGAATTTTTACTAATGTACTTCACGAAGACAGACAAATTAGGAGAGGGACTATATTATATATTCTATAAATAATTAAAATTAAATGAGTAAATAAATAAGAAAAAAAACATGTATATAGAAATGGCATCTCAGCGTCTGTATGTATTCAGTTTCTGCCAACAAGCAATGATATCATCAGTGTAGGCCAGAATACATTCACCTTCCCTAAATAGACTTTAAAAATGGAATTACATTTCCATGTAAATAAAGATAAGTGTTAACTATCTTGAATATTCTAAAAACAGAGAGAAAGCAACATTTTGAAATTTCATTATTCACCTATTCATGCTGTTCTAATGCCCACCAAATGCAAATACTGTTCCGTCTAGTTTACATTATTTTTTTCCAACCGGCACCTTTATCCTCACTAATTCCTAAAAAGATTTTGACAGATAGTTTCTAATATGCAGACAGCCTCTTGGTGACTTGTACAGAGTTGCTCAGCATGAAATAATTTTCAGGGAATTCTTTTCATTGTGGCCACTTATATTTATATACTTAAGTAGAATTGTTTTTGAGATAATTTATAATTACAATATTTTCACCCACATCGAATACTATGCATTCATCTTGTGTTGCAAACAACATACTTTCTGAAAGCATAACTAAGCAACAAACAAATTGCTAAGCAATAAACTTGTAAAACTAAAGAAATTTCCTCAGCTTCATGAAGGGAACTGAAATTAGCCCTACTGATATAATAATGTCATTGTATGAATCCATGGTTAGACCACATATCATGTATTTTGTATTGTACAGTTCTAGTTTAAAAGGATATTATGTTGCTAGAAAAGATGCCAAGAAGGCAATCAAAATGATTACGGGGCCAAAACAGTTCTGCAGAGTTAAAGATTAAAGTACGGTAACTGCAACACTTTAGTTTGGAATAAGGGAATGTAACATGAACATGATAGAGGTATATGAAATCATACTAGACATAGATAACGTGGAGACAGAGAAATCTTCTTTCCTCTCTCACAGTATTACAGCTCAAAGTCAAGCTCTTTATCATTTTAGATTTATTTTTCCAAAATTGTAACAAAACGTTTCACATTAACTCAAAACGATGCTATAGAACACTGCATACCAGAACAACTAGACACAAGAACAGTTTTTTCCCGAACGC